CTCATGACTTAATAATCACTTTCCAAAAGGCCCCATGTCTTAATATTGTCACAATGGTGATTGTTTTCATAGGATTGGGAATATTAGGAATAGATTAGTTAATTAAAAAAAAGTTTCCACATGAATTTTGGAGGGACACAAACATTCAGCTCATAGCAGCTGTCTTCTCTTTCCTGACTCCATGAGATAGACTGTCTTTTCCTTCCATACATGAATGCCTGAGCATATCTAGATTCTGGGACCCTCAGCATAAGAGAGTCTCTGAAGAGGAAGATGAAGATGACAATTACTTCCTGGCAGTCCTGACTTAGTCCCAGCTTTCTGTCTTGGGATGTATACTGGACAACAATTTATTTGGGGACATAGCACTGAAGGAAAAATAAACCACTTCAAATTGACTAGTGATTCAAACTCTAATCTCTAAAAATGATAAATTCCTCAGTTCTCTACCTCCTTACATTCTTGTCTTACTACACAAGTTTCTGTAACTCCGTTTTTTAGGAAACATCATTCATCTACTCAATAACCTTTATGGTCCATGAATAATTTGACTTTCCTTGCTTTTTTGAATTTTGGAGCATTGTTTCCCTAGTGTGAAGGAGTTTTGGAAGAGGCAAGAAAGCAAACTCAGAGCTTAAGAAATTATAAAGAATAATATTGTAATCATAACAACTGTTATTTGTTTTTAAGCCTCAGTCTTCAGAAGGTTATTGTCTGCAGTTGAATACTAATGGATTCAGGCTCTCTTTATGCAGAGGAAATCTTAAACAACAGTGTTCATGGGGAAGGACATTAATCAGGAGAGAGAAGTGAGCCTTGTTCTTAATAATGTTTGCATAATAGCTACCCCTGGGTATATTTCTTGACTTAAAAATAAATATTCATGCTTTCCACATCCAGTAAAACTGGAAATTATTTGTGGTTATGATTCTGTTATATGATCCTCTATCTATTCACGGGGATTTCAAGCTGGGAGGCTGCTGGAAACCAAAAAACATAAATAACAATGCTTGTGAATAACGTGGAGTAAAAGGCGAGCAAGACTAGGGTGTTCGCTATCTGGAGAAGGAGAACAAGGAGCAGGACAGAGCTCTGTTTCCAGAAGGGGAGGAGCTGAATCACACTGGCATGCTTAAGGACGTGGTTTTTCCCCCCTTCTTTTTAGGGTTAGGGTTAGGGTGTTAAGTTGTTAGAGTTAAGAGTTAGGCTAAGATAAAAGCTCGGTTTAGTTTAGGGTGAGAGAGGATTAGGGGCTAGGGCTAAGAGTTCGGGTTAGAGGTTAGGCTTAGTGTTTAGGGATTAGCATCAGGCATTATGGTTAGAGCTGGGGCTAGGGCTCTGCTTAAGGACATTTATATGCTCTCCTGATTTGCTATTAATGCTTGAGTAGTTTCTCCTCACCAGGAGGATAAAATTCAAGTGTTTTACCTCAGTGTTAGTGGCACTCTCTGGAGTGGTCCCTGTGAAACTCTGGAGCACATTACCTGAGACTACTTTCCACCTCAGATGTGACAACACACAGCTCCCTTCAGGTTCCCTCTGACATGGTGTCTTTCAACTCCATGTCTTTGTTCATATGCTCTCTTCATCTTGTAAGGATTTTCCAAACCTTCTTTGCTAATTAATTCCACTTATCATAGACAAGTTGGCTTTAACTTCACCTGCTCAAGAAGACTTCTTTGATCTCCACTTCTAGCTAATAAGTTTTAATCCAGATTCTCCTATTTTTATTTATTGATTTAGTGATTCTTAAATAGTCTTTGTCCTGAGGGACTTTTTTGTCATCTTGTTTTATTGTTTACATGCACCAAATTTTATTACACAAGGGCTTCATTTTTCTTTTCTCTTTCCTTTCTTTCTCCATTTCTCTCTCTCTCTCTCTCTCTCTCTCTCTCTCTCTCTGTCTCTCTCTCTGTCTCTCTCTCTCACATATATATACATCTATCTTTCTTTCCTCCTCTTTTTTCTACCTTTTACATTCTAAGAATGTTCCTATATGGTCTTGAAATCATAGCTGTGTTGCTGTTTTGAACATCTGTCTGTATTGTAAGGCTTTGCGCTAATTCCTCTCCCATGTGGTTTTCCTAACCTTTCTTTCTTAGTATGAATATTCTACTTCAGCTAAGAGGACATCCTATAGTATAAAAGTCAAAACTGATTTGTTCTCCCAGAGACCTGAGATTGCTAATACAGTTGTGCCTTGGTATCCGCAGAGGACTGGTTTCAGGACCCCCGGAAGATAACAATCCACAGATGCTGAAATCCCTTATATAAAACAGTAAAACAGTGCAGTATTTGCATAAGACCTATGCACACCTGCCTATATAATTTAAATCATCTCTAGATTATTTATAATGCCTAATATGTCAGTGGTATGTAAAAGTTGCTATGCTGTATTATTTTTATTGTTATATTATTATTTTTATTGTATTGTTTTTATTTTTTTAAAAATGTTTTCCATCTGAGATTGGTTGAATCTATGGATATGGAACCTGCGGACACCAGGGCTGACTGCAATTTCTCTAGCCTCTCCTGGCCTGTCCTCTGATGCAGGGTGTATGTCTTGGGGTTAAACACCATCTTGTTAGCTCCCTTATACATGCCTCTCATCTGATGGGTGCTGTGTTAACAGAGCTATATCTGTTCAACAGCACGTGCCAGTCGTACCCTTATTGGTAGGCTTCTGCTGAAGTGTCCATATGTCTTTTTCTTGTGCATATGTGCAGTCACGAAAGTACTGAAAACTACCCCTGCTGTTTATATAGCAAATCTATTTATAAAACGCTTTTTGAAATGTTATCCTCACCAAAGAGAGGTGAGCAGTGCAGCTGTTAACCTCATTTGCAAATGAGAGAATTGGTTCAAAAAGATTGAATAACTTCCTAAATTTAGGTGTCCAGTAAATTGCAGGAATTAGAATTCGACTGGCTGAGATCCTTTTTCACAACACTACAAACCTGACAACAGTATTTCTCCTGCTGACTAGGCCATGCAGAGCCTAGTAGAGCTCTTATATGGTGAACTTCTGAGGGCACTGGACAGAGACCTGGACGTGATTTAGGGCCTGTGTTATGGAACTGATTGGGCCACTGGGGCTCTGTGCCTCAAGAGTCACTTTACTCCAAACTCCACTGTCCCCATTTATAAAATGAAGAATGAAGCCGGGCTCGGTGGCTCAGCCTGTAATCCCGCACCTTTGGGAGGCTGAGGTGAGTGGATTGCCTGAGCCAGCGGGTTCGAGACCCGCCTGGGCAGCGAGACCTCATCTCTACAATAAATAAAAAAATCCGCTGGTGTGGTAGCACATGCCTGTAATTCCGGCTACTCAGAAGGCTGAGGTGGAAGGATCGCCGGAGCCCAGCAAGTTGAGGCTGCGGTGGCCGGGAGTGGCCACTGCACTCCAGTCTGGGTGACCGAGTGAGACTCCAACTCAAAAAAAATAAATAAAAATAAATAAATAAATAAAATGAAGAATGAGACACCATGTTTTTAAAGGTTCTTTTGACACACAGCACTTTATTAATTCCTTTTCTGCTATTTTTTTTTTAAATCTCCCCTTCTCACTCCTTTTCTTTCTTTGCTTTCCTTCAGTTGATTCAGTGACTATCTGGTGTGTGTCTGCAATGTACAAAGCATTGTGCTAGGATCCACAGGGGCTGATGAAAGTATATTGTTACAGCTTATCATGGGCAGGAATCAGTCGTTCTTCCTTATCTTGTTTTGCATTTGTTTCCATTCTCTTCTCCTGCCTTCTTTTCCCTCTCATGTTCAATCCCCTCATCATTTTCATTGTTTTCCAAGGTTTCTGCTTTGGTCCAAGGGAAAGCATCAGCCCAGAGCCCATGGGTGAGTTTCATGGTCCTTGGCATCTACTCCCCCAGCACTTGTAGATACTCAATACAAAGCTTCGAGGGTTTTGACAGCCTGGGACTCCATGGACTTTGATGCATGATACTGTACTTCTGGCTCACTTCAATGAGAGATGGACGACTCGGGAATAAAATATCACTTTGCAAATATATTTAAATTGTTTTTCTTCTAAAATATGTGACTTTAAAACTTTAAAATAATCTACTTTTTCAGTAGCATTAGAACCAAGATATTTACTTTTTAAAAGGATTTTTGCCAGAGGGATGCAAATAGTTTTCTTTAGGACCCATGATTGTCACTGGACTCCCATATATTCTTTCCCCTTTTCAGTCATATTTTCTCATTCCTCTTCTACACCCCATATGACATGCATGAGTCATGAGACACTTCTATTTTTCCCCCAAGACCACATTTTCCTACATGTAGTTTAAATTATCTATTACCTTTAGGCTTATTTTTCCATTAAGAGTCACCAATGAATTAGCTGCCAAACACATGGTTATTTTCTCCAAAACACACTTAAAGTACATTTGTTTTCTCTTTGCTGTCTCCAGTCCTCTTAATATCATAGCAGTCAGTATTTTATCATTGCAAAGCACAAACAAAAAGATTGGTGATTTCTTAAACCCCAAGTGAGCAAAGTGGAAGAAACTAAAGAGAACGGAACAAGTGTAGTCATGGTTAGGTACCTGCTCTGCATGAATAGCTTGGTTGAGAACATTCATGGGACTTTCTGAATCCTTTTAACTACCCTGTAAGGTTTAGATTTGCTCTTTGTATTTGTGGAAACTAAGGCTCAGAGGGGTTAAATGATTCGCCCAATACCCCACAGCTTTCAAGTGTCTGAGTTAAGATTTGTACCCAATCCACGCGGCTCCAAATTAACGTATTATCTCTGCTGTACCAGGATTGGAAGGGGGTGTATACAGGCTCTAGAAGGATGTGTAGGATGGGTATCTGGGTAGGGAAGGGCTGAGGAGGCGACCTTAGTCTGCTTGACCAAGATTTTTTCCTTTCCAGGGTCATATCTCAAATGTAGACTACTTCTCCAAATTAAGGATCCAACTTTTTGTAACATTTTAATGAGAGGGGCTTCTACTAATGGGACATCTCTTTTTTGTCTTTCACAGCAATATTGCAGGCAGTAATAGCTGGTGATCTTATGAAGGTAAGATGTCTTCCTACCAAAACTTTGGTGATTCTTTAAGAACTTTAAATCAACATCATTCCTCACCAGATTTTCATGTTCCTGTATCATGCCCCTGGCCTGCGCTAGCTAAGCGGAGGAGGAAGGATGCTCTTTTGAGAATCAAGCAGAGAGGGTGAGGGAGGCTGTCACAGCATATCTACATTTCCTAACAGCAGGAGCACCATGGTTTTTGTCTGGGTTAGTTAAAATGGACTGCATGTCCCCAGTATGCAGTGCCCAGAATGCTTGCTTTCTAGAAGCTGACATTTGAAGTTTTTAAAGATTTCTTTTCAGAAAATCTTGAAATGAATGCGTCTGTAAAAATTAACTAGACAATACCCAGGAATGCATTCTCCAGGCCAGAGCTTATTTCTTCCATGTTATAGTTTTATACTTCAAGGATTATAGTTAATCAAAAGAAGACGCTCAGTCTGATCCACTTTGAACATTTTAATTTGTGCTTATATTTTGTGATGAATTTAGCGCAGAAGGAAGAAAGTCATTAGCATTGCATCAAGAGTGAGTGTTAATCTGAAGTCAGACTGCCTGAGTTCAGATCTTGGCTCTGTATGTGTGATTTTGTGCAATTATTTAATTATCTCTGTGCCTCAATTTCTTCATCTGTAAACAAGGATAATGATATGACTTCTCTCCTTGGTTTGTCATGAAGATTAAAAGTAGCAGTATACATGAACTCCTAAGACTGTTTCTGTTACATAGAAGGAGCTCTAAAATGTTAGTTATTTTATTAATATTATTATAGTGTCAACCTATGTTTACTAACAGCTAAACATGGTGGCAATAAAAATATTTGTTACATAATATAGTCCTTGAGTATTCTGAAGCTATATTTGGTCCCATATCATTTCAGGCATCAGGACCATGACTGCCTCAGGGAAGAGGCTGTGCCTTAATCGTCAGCCTATGTAGTAAGGCACCACGAAGATCAAGGGACCAAAACTCTTAAAGAAAAGTTCTACTACCCTTGTACACAACTTTTTTTAAAAGCACATCTGGTGAGAAGGTTGTGAACATACCGATCAACTGCCATCTTTAGGCACATAATCCTGAAAATGGCGCCTGTGCCACTGTGCAGATCATAGTGTCACTAGGAATTGTTGCCCAGAAGAGAGAAGTGCTCTCCAAGCAGTATATCAAGTTCAATGACATTCTCACCAGTAGATTAAACCAATACCATCCTATTTTCCTTGCAAGGCCTTGTATTAGGTTCTATGGAAGATAGAGACACGAATAAGACTGATTCTTGCCCTTGGGAGCTTGTATGTCCGAACATTTTGCAAAACCCTGTACAATTGAAACCCTTCTATTTATTTTCTCTATGCTTTTAGTTTAGGTGACTGATTTTCCAGGTTCCTGGATATGTTATCAGTTTTTTTGTACTTCAATAGAGAATTATTTGTCATGTGGGAAATGACTATATAAAGCCAGTTGTCTCATGACATTCTCTGTTATAATTATTTCCAAAGTGACTAAGAAATGACTTAGCAGCACCTTATTTACTAAGAAATGAAATATAAGGACATAGCGATTTTCTTTTTCAGTCTTTTCTTTTTTTCTGTTCTTACATTTTAAAAAGTTTCCTTCACAAGTGTTTTTTTCCCTCTTTCTTCTCCATCTTCTTTCATTTGTTTTCTCCCATGTAGAAAGCATAATACACATTGATTATTAAACTCGTTACATGTATATGTGTTTGAAAGTGACAGGGAGGGACAAGGGAAGGGGAGAGACTGGAGAACAGAGGATCATAGGAACAGCCTCTGGTGAATGCTGCCATGAATCACTTCTGTACAGCAGGGCTGCCTAAGATGCCCGCAGACTAACTTAATGTTCATGGTGTCTAAAAGCACGGAAAGGCAGGATCAAGGCAGCTGGCCCTGATAGGATCTGATTAGGTCTGTTCTGCTATTCTTTATGAATCTCCCCCAAGGAAAAAGGAAGTGTCATTGCGAGTCAATGTGGTTGAACAGCACAGGATACCCTTTTAGATGTTTGTGGGAAATTGTCAGCTATTTCTCCCAGTTCTCTTGCCCCACAGTTTGTAGATGGAAGTTCTTGTGCTGCTTACCTCCGTCCAGCTCCTTGGAATCCATGTCGCAGGAGGTTTTCTGTGTCTCCTTTCCCACCCCTGCTGTTTACTTGCCTGATGCCATACTGGGAACCTCGGGGTGTTCCTCTCCATTACCAGTAATTCTTTCCACATCTGTCTCCCTCATGTACTGTGAGAGCTTGGGGGCCAGTGACTGAATCCTATTCATCTTTATCTCCCTGAATCAAGTACATGACAGTTCGATGTATGTATTTGAGTGTAGGCGTGAACACTGAGGTTACTTTCTTTTTTTAAAAAAAATTTATTTTTAGTTGAAAAATAATAATGGTACATATTCATGGGGTACATAATGATGTTTGGATACATATAATGTATAGGGATCAGCTCAGGGTTATTAGAATATCCATCAACTCAAACACTTATCAGTTCCTGGTGTTGGGAATGATATTCTCCTTCTAACTATTTGAAATGATGTATTATTATAAACTGTAGCCATCCTACAGTGCTACAGAGCACTAGAACTCATTCTTTGAGTTTACCCTCTTTCACCTTATGAGATGTTTGATTATTTATTATGTGTGCCTTCTAACTTTGTGAGAGAGAATGTGTTCTTTTTGCTTACTACCTAATGGGTTATTTAATTCTTATTTGTCCTAAAACTGTGTATTAGGAACTTCACAAAGACTCATCTAGTCCTGACACACCACAGCTTGTGAATGAAGGTCCATTTACACTTTCAATAATGTTCAGTATTTGATTAACTTAGACTGTATTCTCATCTACTATCTTATTCTCAGACTGCAAAATTCTATTTTTTCCAGTCTTTTCTCATGTAGAAACTACTAATTCTATGGATCATTTTGGTTCTCAATCTGCAGATCATCACTAGCCTGTTTAGGTATGTGTTGGCTAATTAATAGAAGGTGTGCAGGCCGGGTTACAGATTGGGATGAAGAAGGGAGCCAGACGTGTGTGTGCCTGCGCATATGCTTATGTGCCATGATCTTATGCAGGAGAAAGAGAAGCAGCGTTGATATCTGGTAGTCAGGTTCATTAGAGGCTGAAGAAACACTAAAGGACATAGGCAAGGAGCTTAGCTATCAGACCCCAAGCTATTCCTGCTTATAGCCGTAATTATTCTTTCAACTCAGAGAACACTGAGTCAGCATAGGAAGTTTCTGTTCTCTATTCCACCCCTCATTCCCCTGGGACACAGACTGGAGCTCAGAAAAGAGAAGAAAAAAGTACTTCAGCATGATACCATCTCCTTAGGCTGTTCAGCACCCACAAACCCTCTCCAGAGTTAGAGGAGACACTGGTCATCTCTCTGAGTGATAATGCAGTCCAGGAATGTGACTTCATCTCTTTGCCTTTTCTCTGTGTCCTCAAAAGCTGGAAATATTTGTGGTTTTTTTTACCTTACTCTGATTTTATTACCTGTTAGTTGTTATCCTTGTTCTGGATTCTGCCTGAACTTCTTTTCATATGTCTCTCTTGCAGCTAATAGAAAGCTATAAAAATGGAGGCAGTCTGCTAATTCAGGGACCAGATCACTGTTCACTCCTTCACTACGCAGCTAAAACCGGCAATGGGGAGATTGTGAAATATATCCTTGACCATGGTGAGTAGGCACAGCGAACTTACCAAGGTTCACTTATCCATGAAATAGATGGCATTTTCTAAGCTATTTTTCTCCCAGGCTGTTTTTAGAATGACAGAAATACTCTAACTTTTAGCTGATGCCCCTTTGCTTGTTTGGAGCAGCCATGGCTGCAGACCACTGATATGGATGGACCATCTTAACCAAGCAATTAGTAGAAATGGTTTTCACATTGAGCTCTTTACAGACTATTTTTTTAAGAGAAATCAATTTTAAAACAAGACAAAACCAGATGTAGCCTGGCATAAACTGCTTTATTTTTCTGGAACATTTTTGTAAGCAAACTGGTTGGAATCAGCTACTTAATCCGTATTTGTAGTTCATCATTCTGTAGATTAATGAGAATAATTTTTTTCCATCTTTCTATTCTCTCTCTCTCTGTGTCTCTCTCCTGTTGAATTTCACACTTTATTCTCTTTGAAAATGTCTGGTACTATTGTATTGTTCATGGCAGATCATACTATACTAACCTCCTGGACCACTTTCTAACTTGGTTTCTAACTTGGTGTTAGATTGTTTGCTGGAAATAGCATGCACAATAGCAACTGCCTCTAAAAGCCCGTTGGAAGTGTAAGACCTGTGATAAATACCAAATCTCAACGGCTATGTTCAGCTTCTCATGTTTATAGTATTTTCAGAGACAAAAAAAGGGAAAGTCTGCTTGACTTGGCTGCTTTTTAGTGAGAAGGAATGGAAGAGTCTAACTCTTCCATTGAAGATTGAAGATTTTCTCTGAGCCATGACAGCAAGTCTATGGCCTAGTCTTTCTGCACCCAAATCCAAACTGTAGATAGTAAGCAAATTAGTAAACATTCACATCCTTTATACTCCTCTCTTTATGCAACCCAGCAAATATGTGTTATTCCTTTTGTTGCTTCATTCATTCAATAGATATTTGTAGAATACCTAACAGGTGACTGCCTGGCTTATATAGACTACTAGTACACACATACAAATAAAATACACTGCTTTCAAGCAACTTCAGGCTAGAGAAAAAGTGTGATCATGTGCACAAATAAACTTCAAACATATTTATATATATATACAGAGAGAGAGAAGTTTCAAGTTCTATGGCAAAACCACAAGTAGATAACATAGCTACCATTTATCAAGCACATATTATTTGCCATATATTTATTCCAAACACACCCTATCATTTAATGTTTGCAAGGACCTTGCAAGATGTTAGGCTGTCAGTCACTGTAGACTCCCCTTGCTTTGTCTTCTGTACCTTCTCACTATGAAGAGTTTGCTTGAACCCTTGACCCGACTTATGGTGGAGAGTGGTACAAAAACAGGAAAGGCTGTGAAAGCAGGAAGTGGTGAATGAAGGATTTCTTCACCCCTTGGATAGGCTGGCTTGGATAGTCCCAAACCTATCTGCCTTAGGAAGCCTAGGGAGGTAAGGTGTGTTTTTGGTGCTGTCTGGGGCTTGTATTATTCTGTCTTATATCCCTCTGATGCTTATACCTCCTGCAGTTATAGGCATTCCTTTTTGGACAAGACTTACAAAAGCAATGGTAGCATCATTTTTGCTTGCCTCCTGCATGCACGCGTAGACACACACACACAGACCATGGACTTCTTCTGTCTCCCATGATGACTTCTCTAAAAGCTATTAAGAGGCAAAACCAAAATTTAAAACCTGCACTACAGCCAACGAATAAAGCCACAATGCTGCTATGTTATTTTTCCCTTAATAAGAAAATATCTCAGGATTTCTATTGTACAAGGCCCAGGTGAGCATTAATTATATACTGTCACTTTATTTTAATTTATCTCAGGTTCAAAGGCCCCCTAGCTGATATCCTCTTCTCACTAGTTTATCTGCTACCTGATGAGATTGAATGCCTGTTTGCATCCCCTAAGCCATTCAATGCCCACCTCCTCTCTCTGGAGTCAGGTGAGACGCTGGCCATCTATTGGAGTGATAGCGCAGTCCAGAAATCCCTCTCCTCACCCTTTCTTCACTTTCCTGAAGAAGCATTACCCCACCTCACCCCCATCCTAGGATTCTCTCTGTGTCCACTGTCTGACTTGGTCTCACTTAAGACACAGCAGCCAGCTCTTGTTTCGAAGAGGCTGGGCTAAAGAAGGGCTCTCACATGTTTGGGATACTCACCTGGGATAGCTGGAAAGCCAGAACACCTGGGCCTTTCCCTGCACCTGGTCTTTTATCCCAGACTTCCTCACGCTGGCGCTCCTCGGGGTGAGAATGGGAGCTACCAGGCACCCAAGGCTTGGCTGGTAATTGTACGTCAACTCCACTGCATTCTGTTGGCTAGAATAAGTCACAGGGCCAGCCCAGACTCAAAGCGTAGGGAAATAGACTCCACTATCTAATGAAAGGAATAATCTGTGACCATATTTAATCTTCCATGGTCCCTTACTTTCCATCGTCTTTGATTTAAAATGAGAATCCTACCTTTGCAGGAGTCTGAACTTCTGACTCCCCTAAAATCCCTTGGTGCTCTGCTTTCTTAGTTTTCTTTGGTTTGGGGTTCTAAGCAAGGGTTACCAGATTTAGGAAATAAAAATACAAGACAGCAACATTATTTTTTTCTTAGCATAAGAGCATCCCATGTGATATTTGGGACATACTTAAAAGCAAAGCAAAACAAAAAAATCCCTCTCCTCAGCTGCGTCTCTGGGGCTGTGAATGAGGAAACACCAGCTGATGCTTCCCAAAACTGTGGCTTCTCACTTCTCCTGAGTCTACTCTTTCCCCTGTCTCCAATAATAGGGCCTCCAAAAACATCATGAACCCAAGCACACAGTGCTGGCAACTTCTTTTTAAAAATTTTTTATTTTAAAGATGTAGGATACAATTTGGGGTTAGGTACACAAATGTTCATTATGCAGGTACTTTTGTTGATGAAGTATGCCCCCCTCTCCCAGCAGATTTCCACTCTGCCAATCCTTTTCTTATAGTATTACAATAATTGTTCAAGGTCCGCTTATGAGTGAGAACATGTGATACTCAGTTCTTTGTTTCTGTGATATATCAGTCAGTATTATAGACTCTAAGTCTATCCAGCTTCTATCCAAATGTAGATCAGTACACACATGCTTTGCCTGGTACCAAATTCATCTGGTATCTTAGTCTCTGCGAGCTTTGATAAAAATCTAACATTCCAATACACACTAGTAATTTCTCATCCGTCTGCAGTGTCTCTTACAAAGGCACATCACAAAATGCCACTCTGTCCAAACTGAAGGACACAAAGAAATTAACTGGTTTTTTAGGAGTTGAAGGGTGTTTTCCAGTGTTTTGGTTAGATTTCATAAATTAATTGATTTAATATTTATGATCAAGAGAACCCACTCAAGATTCAGAGAGATCAGCTTCACTTCTAGGCAAACAGTTCCTAAGGTCCTAGAAGGTATCCTGTGCCTTTCCTGTCTTGCCAGCATCACTGATTGGCCAGCACATACCTTGGGAAAAGATTGAAAATAGATAATAAAGCACAATCCATCTCTTCTGCTTGAAAATAAAATCTGATGATCTTCGGTCCACAATGCATTTTTTGTGGATGGCAGTCTTCAACACTGCACTACCATAACTGAATAATGGGAACACAAGTGAAATTTTGACTTTTACTGAAATTAATTTTTATCAACCTGATATATATTGTCAAGTTCATTCTTGATATTCATCTCATTTCTATTTATTCAGGAATATAGATGTAAAATCTCATGATATAGCCTAATTCACTGATTCCAGAAAAACTAAGCACTTCAACGCAACTGTTTTCTATTTATTATTTCATTCTTTAGTTGCTGATTCAACTTATATTAACTATTGCAATGTGGTGTTGAAAACTATCATAGCAGAACCATTCATCTCTTTTGAATTATAGAAACTCCTATGTTCTCACTCGTAAGTGGACCTTGAACAATTATCATAATACTATAAGAAAGGGATTGGCAGTAGCTGGAAACTGCCAGGGAAGGGGGGTGGGTGGGACTGGCAGTAGTGGGAAACTGTCAGGGAAAGGGGGTATACCTCATTAACAAGGATGCCTCCATAATGAACATTTGTATACCTAATTCTGAATTGTACCTCACATCTTCAAAAAAATTATAAATAAATTATAGAAACTTCTTTAAATTTCAGTGTTCTTGAAGTCAGGACCAACTATGTAGAAAACATTACCCTTTCTCTATACTGTAATCACCTTCTTAATGTCATCTCTGTTGATTGAAGTAGTCTTTCCTAACTTAGTAACGATGAAAACTCTGGAATACCCCTCACTTGACAAAAAGAATAGCCTTTTCCAAGAGTTCTCAGGCTGAGATTTAGGAATATATACCAGATTATGGTGTTGTAATTTATAAATTAGCATCAGATTTGCAGTAGGTACATCTGATCAGTTTGAATTTATGTAATTGGAAAAAAAAATAATAAAAATGTTCACACTGTGCCAAAGATCAAGGAAGACATTCCTCCCAATGTCTTAAAGCTTTATGTATACATTTATTTTTACAGTTTAGTTTAGGTCTGTCCTGTGGCTTCATATAATATATATCTGAAAATTCATTCAAAACTCTGACTGTAGCAGCCGTTCTGAGAATCAGTGGGCCCTTTTCCATGTGCATAATGGCTGCAGTTTGTTGCTCCTTTGTTGATACTTCCTTTGCTTTCCCACATCCTTCCACCTCTGTCCACTGTAGAGGATGGAAGGGCGTGGAGGGAGAGCGAGGAGATTGCTGGGTGCCTGTGGGGAGCTGTGTGGGCTACCATGGAGAGGATGCCTCCTGAACAAGGGCCCTGAGAGATTAGCTGTTCTCACAGACACTAGGAACGGCGACTGATTCCCTCAAAGAGGCCTCTTCCAGGGCCTGCACAACGTGAGATGTGTGGTATGTTGTGAAGGCGCCACAGGAGGCTTGAATTTTTTCATCCTGCGTCTTCTTCCTTTGGGCTTCTTTCTCATATGTGCAACATGCTGCTTTCCTTT